GATTTAAAACAATTACATTACGTAAGAAAACAATTTCCAACACTCGATCTTGAGTATAAATTTGCCAAAAAACAAGATAAAAACCTCTTCTCAAGTACGAAAAGTCAATATTACATCAATAAAATTCAAAATTCATCAAACAAAAGTAAGTCTACTTGGCAGATTATAAATGAGCTCAATGGAAAAAAAAACCAAAAAACACGTCGCAATAAAATTGCATAATGAAATTATTGAAGAACCATCAATTTTATCAAACATATTCATTATTTTGTAAACATACCAAAGGAAACAATAGGAAATATACAACACCTGAATCATCGAATTGAATATCCTCAAAATAATTTTCAAACAGAGAGAATGTTTGTTCAATATGTTTCTGAGATAGATGTTCTCAATGTTATAAAATATAAAATTAAAAATGAGCCCTCCTGTGGTTATGATGCGCATTATTAGATGTATTGCTAGAGTCTCATTTAACCATAGTTGTCGTGACCTTTTCAAAAACATGAGGATTTTAACAGTTAGTGGTATTTTCATTTTAGAACTTTTGAAGAATATCAAAAAGCTCGTGACGACCATACGCGTGTAGATGAACTACACAATTATGATACTAGACAGAAAGGCAAATATTGTGTTCCCTTCAGACGCGTAAATATTAGCTTAAATTCACCTACTGTACTTGACTTAAGACTATAATCGACTACACAAAGATGTAGATTCTTTTCAAACCGGAAATTTCTTATTGGAGTGAATAAGATACTAATTGATCAGTGTCCCTACTCCCTAGAAGATTATTATGAATTAGTTTTTTAAAGAACAACCTGTAAACATGTATTATTTCACTATCCTATGTTAATTGAATTTTGCACTTACTTACTTTGTTGTATATCTATATGTTTTTTGACTTGTCCTATAGCTGTAGTTGCTCGAATGGATAAATAAAGAATTGAATTGAAATTAGAATCACAAGATTTGTTTGCACTTTCTAGTTTTATTTTTCATTTTCAATCCAAATACCGGTGAACATTTTTGTATCAGAATCACCTGAATTCAGGTAAGATAGGACAGTCATTTAAGAAATATATTGAGCAATAATGATAATTCCCTTGAGATAATGAAGTTTGAGAGCGAATAAGTGCTATTTTCGGGAGTAGAATACTATAATTTTCCATGACTCATAACAGAAATATTTCAAAACAAAAACTATCGGAGATGAGATTCGACTCCGGATTGCCCTTTCTTTTTTTGATTTTGTATTTATTGAACGAAACTATGAAGTTGGAGAATCTGGCTCCATTTATGTTGTTGTTTCGTTCATTTTTAGTGAGTCACATCCACATAATAAAGTTCTAATCGCTTTTATAGATTATATTACTTTCTTGTTTTGAATTTGGGTTTTTGAAATCCTTGAGAGAATTATATAATTTCAAAAAGTTCAACTAACCCACACGTAATGCTTCTTTGAATCTGAAATGAAGCTTTCGAAACAATGGAGAGCGAAACATTCTCAGTGTGAGTTATTAAAAATCATTATACACATAGGCGTCCTTGAATTTCAATGCTACAAAGAGAAATACTAAGTCCTAACCTCCTCACAATTTTGTTTGGTAGGTTAACGCTTTTATGCCTTCAAGTTATTAGTATTTCAATTGTAATTTTATCCAGTTTGATTAATAACTACAACGCACAATTTCAAGAAAAGTTAGTAGGTATTATAGGACACTGTCATATTTTGGTGTACTCACTAATGATATGGCTCATTTTTCGAAAACGAAAGACTTGAACATAGCTTACAGAACAAAAAAAGCAAATTCATCAAAAAATTAATTGTTCGATAGGTCATGAGGATATGAGACTTGTGGTTCTTGCCTGAAACAACATTGGCGAAACAGGACGAACCTTTTCCCACAGAATAAAAGAGCATCTCGAATGTGAAGACACTTTCCACATTCAGAATGTGATGAAGGGGTACGAGTTCTATTACGACTATGACGTGTTACATTGAGAAGAGAAAGGTTTGAAACTCTTTCTTTTGGAATGTTGGTGAGTTTAAAATTGAATCTGCTGTGAGAATGTTTATATTGCTATCCAAACGTCATCATCGTATACCATCATATATGGAGGGGTTACTATTTCATTGAATAAGCATTTTGAAGCTTATTTCAATCATCCTAGAACTTTGTAGACGTCTCCTTCTACAGATTCTCACATGGTTCCCCCTCTTCTCTTCCATCTCTGCTCTCGGGGTATTCAACGAATAGTAAGAGCTAATATTATTAAGAAAACATTGCAGATTTGAAGATAAAAATTAGTGGATTAGAGTGAATAACAGGACATTTTTTGAGAAGGCAGAGAATGTACCAGACAAGAGGAAAACTTCAAAACGTGTCGCAAGTGACATAGACTGATTTTGAATCATTGCGTATTGTTACAATAAAGTAGCAACAGCAGCGTACAGAAAGGTATATTCATGCTAAAAACCGTATACGTGTGACAGACCATCAAAAGTATCTTCAAAAAATTTTTTTATCTGAATCTAAAGTGTTTCTACGTGGATATTCCATCTAGCTGAATGGGAATCTGGAATTTTTTAATCTCCCTCCGCTTATGAATTCTAGAAAAATATCAAAAACAGTTGTAAATGGCAAAACATTCCAATAATATATGTGAGAGAGTTAGACACTTTTTAGATCGAATTTGCCTCTTCATTTTCGTCATAGAATAAATTTTGAACATCTCCAGTATGATAGTCAGTTCACTTTCTGTGGAAGCAAAGTTTAGACGCCATGCCAGAAGTTCTTCAGTCATTGAACGTGATTTCGTGGTTTGATTTTCTTAGAATCTCCCTCTATGATCGGTAATACCTAGTTTTTTGAGAGAAATGTGGTGCACCTTGCTCCAAAGGTTTTGATCTGGAATTAAAATAAAAGTTTGATGCACTTTGCATCCTTATAGTAGAATTATGAAGCATGAAGATGTTGACGAAGATATGAATCATCGTCTTTGTATTTTCGCCGAGGAATTTCTCCATTCCGACTAAAGTCCTGATTCAGATCACTATTATACTCAAAATAATGATAGACCATCAATGAAACAATGACAGGAATGTGCCGTTGAACTGACTCTCCATAGAAGACAGTAAAGCTACTTTGTTAAGGGGATGCTGTATGATTTTCTTCTGTGAAAATGAAATCGTGAAGGAATCCTTTACGTTATTGATCTGATCATTTTAGTTTTTCCCCACGTAAAATCCTTTTCTAGCCCGACAATGCTCACAATAGACGAGTATACTGCCCTAGGGACACCAGTTATTAAACAATCGTAATTCAGTGTTGTCACTGGCCCGGCAATTATCTTGTTCGATTAATTATATGATATCTGATCTATGTATCGTAAATAATCCAGCAGTAGGCCGCAGAACTGGATATACGAGATAGACTCCATCGGCGCTAGTGGGACATCGAGATAAAAGCGTTATTCACTTCTCGCGCTGCCTTTAGATCCACGATAAACAAATTCCTTGCCGATGCCAACGATGTGATTGAATCGGAGATCGCGACCAGCCAGGAAAAGAAAGCTTCTAGAGATGGAGTGTTCTAAAATACACAAAATGAAAGAAAAAAACCTGCAGCATTGACTGTTCGATCATTTCCTTGTCGGCAATTTCATTTTTTCTCGTTACAACAAATTCTGTTGAAATCCGATTAGTCTAAAGACTACTTCGAAAGGAGTTATACGTAAGAATTTCACGTAATTTTTTTAAATTTCTTGAAACAATGTTTCATGCCGCTTTTTGAAGTTCATCAATTCTCTCCACCATTCTATAACATTCACAGTGGAGATGGAACAGGACGAATCTATATATTTTTTGGACTTGACAATAACAAAAGTTAACAACAAACATGATTTTTCAATTTATCGTAAACCGACACATACGGATATTATCTTTCATAATTCGTCCACTCACCCATATCAGCATAAGGTAGCAGCTTTCAGCAGTATTATCCACAGACTGATAAATGTACCCTTGTCAGAAGCGAATTTCAATAAGGAACTGAATATAATAAAGCAAATAGCCGTCAACAATGATTATGATAGTGGTCTGATACATTCTTTATTATCAAAAAAGTTATACGGTCAAGCTTTGAAAGAAGTTTACCCAATTCGAATTCGAAGAGGATAAAAGTTATAGAACCTTAACCTACTTAGGCCAACCCACTACAAATATTTCAGATTTTCTGCACAGCAAAGGTGTAATTACTGCTTTCAAAAGAATAAACAGTCTGTAATTGAGTTTTGTAACATACTCCCCCAAAAAAAATTCCATACCCTAAATGAGAAGTAATAAGTGAGAAATAAGCCGATTTAGTGGCAGACAAACCAAGTTCCTCATGAGTTATTCTCACTATACTACAAAAAATCCTGAAGCTAGCTTTTTACTGAAGGTTACAATGTGGTCGGCGAATTTAAGTTTACTGTAAATACCCAAAAATTTGGAACGAGGTCTGTTTTCAATCATCTTGTCTGCGTCCTTTGTTGTTGATGATATGCTGCCAATAAAGCAGCGAAAAGATATTAATTTTGTCTTGGAAACATTAACTGACAGCAGATTGGAGTCGCACCAGTTTTTTTTCTATCTGAGCTTATACTCTCGTGGCGATTGCATACAGTTTTATTGCGCCATTATATTGTGGCACTATCGGCGAATAAGGTGAATTTTCCTTCTATATCGATAGATGTTGTTTCTTTTGTGTATAACAAAGAAAGTATCGGTCCCAGTATTGAACCTTGTGGTACGCCATCTTTCATTTTGCCTTATTGGATTCAATCTCCAGCGATTCAAATCCACTATTAACCGGATTTTCCTGTTCTGCTTGTGTTTTGTCTACCACACAGGCGGTGATTGCAATGATCCAGAATCTTCAATGCCTTTACTGATTTATTTCTTTATGAGGAATCAAAATTGGTTCAACAGCTATTTTCTTCTATTTTCCAGGCACGCCCCCTCCTCCCCTGGCATGACTTGCCGGGCCTACTCCAACGCCACCGATTGGGACATCAATGACAGTTCCATCCCCCGAATCAACGAGTACGACCCTTTTTCTGAATGGGCTGATGGTCACTGCAGGCTAGTCTACAGAGCGGACAGCGAAGAAGCCAAAAGACACTCTTCGGGGTGGGCCATGAGGAACACCAACAACCACAACGTCCATATACTGAAGAAGAGCTGTCTCGGGGTCCTGGTGTGCTCCCTGAGGTGCACCCTGTCGAACGGGGATACCGTCCACCTCAGGCCAGCTATCTGCGATAAGGCCAGGAAAAAGCAGCAAGGTATTACAGGCAAGGCACTAGATAAATTATAATTGATAATATCAACTGGGAAAAATAATAGTAGTGATAGTTTTGAAGCCACAAAATGCATATATTGAATAACAAATGAAATTTATCACATACAGTGAGCACCATATGTAACGGATAATTCATTTTCTACGTTATTAGCCATTTTCAAGAAAAACCCTGAAACACGTCGAGTTATGTATTCGAAAATACATTCTGTGACATAAAAAAATCCCCCCTCCTTCACCACCCTCAACGTGACAGCCACCCCCAATTTTTTTTAATGCAAAAAAGGACCAAGTGATACCTCATTTTGAAGGGTATTTGATTTTCTGTAAAACCATTTTTTTTTATTTCGTGCATGCGTCAAAAAAAACAATTGAATCTAAATCATTTATTAAAGCGGTTGCAATCAATGTGCAACTAATGGAAGTCTTCAGATCAAATGTTCAAACTGACAGCCATTTTGTTTCTTGACAATTATACATGCGTTGCTGAAAGTTATCAACAACATTATGAATGGTTTCGGGAGTGATACGTTCTATTTCTTCTCTGACTCTGATTTGCAAACTTTCAATATTGTTTGGTATATAGACGTATACTTTGGATTTTCGGTAACCTCACAAAAAGGACTCAAGCGGTGTCATGTCGGGAGAATAGGCTGGCCACTCTATGGCACCTCGTCTACCAATCNATGTTCTGTGAGTCATTGTTATTAAATTTGAAGCATTTCTAGTGCAATATTGATGGTGGTAATTGTTTTTTATTAGCTCATTTTCATGCTTTTTAATGTGTAAGCAACTTTTATAAATTTAAATGCAGCAAACTGTCATAATCTTTTTACTCTTGAAAATTTCCCTGCAAGAATCACGTGGCTTCATGTTGAACATTATTCTAACAATTCGTTTTTGTGTAACAAATATCCTATTTATTTCTGTTGCACTTCCCCATAACGTGTAGTGGAGTTATGTGTCTGTAGGACTTCACTATCGATCAAATTGTTCTTATTGAAATATATAATTTCTGTTTTCTGTGCATTTAGCATCAGTTTATTGGAATGACAATATCTTGTCATTTCACTAATACAGAGTTCAACCGATAAAATCATATCCTCCATAGATGACTCAGCTATACCAAATGTTGTGTCATCAGCAAAATTGATCAGATAAAAGCGCCTATCGTCATTAATTGGGAGGTCATTGAGAAATAGTAAGAAAAGCAATGGTCCCAGAATTGAACCTTGCGCTACTCCAACATCAACTGAATATCTTTCTGACTCAACACTATCTATTGATAGGAATTGTCTATTTGATAGGAATGAAATGATCCAGTCAAGAATATTTCCTCTAATGCCAATATTATACAGTTTGGAAGCCATAAACACTTCATCAATACAGTCGAAAGCTTTAGACAAGTCAAAGAAAATTCCTACCACGTGCTTCCTATTGTCCATATTCCTAGATATGGAATCAACAAAAAGGGTAGTAGCAGATTCAGTTGACCTGACCATGCGAAATCCATGTTGAGAATCAGATAAAATTTTATGACTTATTAAAAAATTCATTAGTCTATTGTACATTAATCTTTCAAAATTTTTGAAAAAATACTGAGAATACTAATTGGTCTATAATTATATAGTCATTAATACAATTACAGGCTCGTGGATTACAGGATCGAATAAATCCACTCACCTTAGGCCTATCTAATACAAAATGAATGAGCAATAATTGCAAATATTTGTGTCTTGTTTTCTACTATTCCAATCAGAGTGTACCACAAAATGAGTTTGAATAACATTGAATAAAAGCAATAACGAAATGACTCGGTTGTAATCCGTTGTTTTTTTTTACAGGTAAACCATGCCCAAACAGACAGTGCACAGGTCGCTTGGAAATCTTACCCTGCAGAGGACATTGTGGCTACCCTGTCACTCACTTCTGGAGGCACACTGAACACGCAATATTTTTTCAAGCCAAAGGAGTGCACGACCATCCTAGACCTGAAGCCAAAAGTACTTCTGAAGCAAGGAGAACCTTGGGCAGTGGTAGAAGAGTCAGAGGTCTGGCTGTTCTATTAGCAAAAGAAGCTGCTCTAGGGAATAAGGTAAATGAAGTTTGTGTATTCTATACATTTCGTGAATTTCTCTCTTGTTACTTAGTAGTTGAACAGAAAAGATTTTGTATATCAGCAACAGAACAGCAACAAAATCTCTGATGGATGTTGATCAATGACTGAAATGTGAATGAATGGATTATAAAGACAAAAGACTGACAAAAACAATGACACACTGAAACGTAAATGATATACTACTAGTTGCCTTAGGCTTTTTGAAAGACAAGGATAGAAAAATTGACGTAATACGGTTATTTCAAAAGTTTTGCCCCTTTAAATATCACGTATTTACGTAATTCTGTATACCAGTAAAAATGAATAGATAAATTAGCTTTCTTTCATTTTCAGTTATAATTTTTATTTATCTTTTCAGTTTGTCTCATTCTCTAGCGATACTTTTGTTTTATCCTTCAAGCTGCTGAGTTGAACTTCATAATCCTCTATTATAATTTCTCAGCTCTGAATTATCAAATACGACAAGTTACTGATGGAAAGAACATTTTTATTTGTGGAAAATATCTTAAGTTTTTCTTGTAACTTCCCGAGATGAACTGGAAAGTTTGCCGTTTTTACATCTGCATAAATTTCTCCGTAACAGTTTTTGTTTCTCTCAGAAAAAGTCGATAAAAACTCTGATTTCTGATGTTTACTATGTTTATCAAACTAGTTTGTTGTTCTCATTCCTATGGTTTTTGTAACTAATTCTACCGAATAATTCTAAAATGACATTTTCTCAGATAACGTTTCGTGTACCTACTCAAGTTACTGCTGTCAAAAAATATGCATCACATTTCGTAACTTCAGTAATAACATAGCAATTCGTATGAACACGAATTCGTATCTTCTCAATAAATCACCTCCTTTCAAAGCCGATAATTTCTTGGACTTTCATAACTCATGAGGACTTAATATATTCCGAATCGGAATCGGAAAATAACCATATCTATCTAATAATAACTGGTTTGTTGGAATAACCGATTGACCATCTCCAATCATCAATATCTTCAAAACGAACGCAACCGCTGATAAATCGACCACACATATTTAATTACAGAGAAGGAGAATGTTTTCGAAATGGTAATTTGTCAGTTACACTTTGATGCCTACGGGAAATGTAACATTGACAAACTAGCTGTTCTCCTTTGTATTTCCTGAGGTTGTTGAGAAGGATGGGAATTTTGCGATTTGTGGGCTTCGATAACAAAGAAATTTTTTTCTCAAGGGAAACAATATCAAGAAACTGAATTTATTTATCAGTCATAGATATTTATGGGATATGAGTAACTAGGATATTTTTTTTTCATCTGAAACAATGCCAATAAACCAAAATTTTAATGAAGAAGAGAGAATTAAATGTTTCTGTTTTTTACCAATTTACATTAAATGACCCTTTATGTACCACCCCTGTAGGTGCTAATAGAGGTACTTGACTTGATTGAGTACCTGAATTGTCAGTTTACAATGGGGATGTGCTAATTTGAAAACCGGTGAGTAAACTAAATCGATTTGATCATTTAACAGGTTGCACCTGCAATGTTTGTGCTTGTGAATTTCCAAGGATTCCAAATAAATGAGTTTGCAACCCTTCGTTGCATAATGGTTTGAAAACTTTGAAATTACTGAGTATTTCTAAAACGAGTATTTCTAAAAAGTTACTCCAAAATAACTTTCAAATTCATAGATCACTAATCTGTAAAATATTTTGCATCAACCCATTGGTCAATGACGAAGAAAATAATAACAAAATTTTCTTGTTGTTTCAGTTGATGTCTTTACGAGAACCAAAACGGCAATGCAGAGAAATTACCAACCAAGTTTCTAGAAGTATCAATACCCCTACACTAATGTCAGAGGCAGAAAAAGGTAAGAAATAGCTCTGCATATTTTTTATTGTTTATAATTTTTTTTTATGTTGATGACTAAACTACATTGGCGTTTTATGCATAAAACCTTGTGGATCACATTAATGAATCGCTAGAAAACTATTACGAACCACATTTCCAGTATCCTTTTCTGTTTTATCAATAATGTGAAACAATTTACTACTTGAACTGTATATTAAACACAAAAAACAAACCTATATCAATCAGTTCTGACAGGTAAAGTCTCTGCTCAGTTTACAATCCACTTCTATTTTTTTTCTGGATAGTTTTCATTTAACACACCATCCATAGTCAATAAATACGAATTATTTGAAAAAATATCAACAAACAAAAGTTTATTCAAAAGATGAAACCGAGAATATCCCCCTATTATTATTTTTTGCAACTTTTGGAAAAATATGAAAAAACTGATTCAACGTCCCCGAAATCACTCACCTTTTCAAAATCAACATAAAATAAAAAGTACTTCGTCAATTTCCGTCAAAATACATCATTAGGAAAAAAAAACTTAAGAGTGTGTCATTCAAATTCGTAGAAATATATTTCTATGAAACTGCTGCTTGAAACAAGATGATTGAAGTTCTATACGATGAGGATTTAGATGAACCTGAATCAAATTCAAATGCAGAACATTTTACGAAAATGTGAAAACGAAGAGGAGTCATATCACTAATGGATTATTTGTTTCAGGTTACTGTTCCTGTCCACCATTCGAATGCATCTGCAACTACCAACAACCACTATTGACGACCCTCAACCAGTTTCCCACGTCTCCTTCAACATACCCACAACTGCCAGAAACCTACTGGACCCCAGAAACTACTCATCAGCAGCACTACCAAACCGACCTGGCGACACTCAACCAGCAGTATGACTTCAACAGTATATCTACAGATCTCTTTCAACCTGAGGAAATCTTCCAAATGGAACAACCTGTGAAACACGACTACGCCAGTCTAGCTCAGAACAGCGAAGTCGCCAGAAGTCCCCCGACGCTGCTGGATCTAGGAAGTGGAACAATCCACAAAGAGTTCAAAACCGAAGACTACTGGCATCCTACTTTAACGAGCATGCTGAATGACGACAGCAACAACAGCAGCAACAGCAACAGTAGGTTCAATCTCAGTCAAAGCCCAGACACCAGTCAAGTCTTACTGAACAACAACGTGCCCCAGTTGGACCAAAATCTGTACTTAGACTCCAAGTTGGACGACAATCCCTTCTCTTTACCAAAAACTCAGTATTATCCTCAACCAAGTTCCTTGGAGAGCAGTTACAGACCCTCCGGCTACGACCTGACTGAAAGTAAGCCTACTTACTCTGGAGAAGATAAAGGCTTCCAGGTTTTCGAGCCTTACCACGCTTCAAAGGCGTATACCAAGTCCAACCAAGACGAATACATCGACCTAGGGCAGTACAGCGAGTACAGCCACTTTCTCAACGTGTACGATAACAACAAAATGGCGGAAAGCGCCATGTTCAACGACCTCGACTTCAGAATCCAGAGCTCTTGCGTGCCCTCTATCAGCAATCTGCATAGCTACAGTCATGATACTTTTGATGTGATGTCTCACCAGTGAATTTAACTTTTGTTCCAGATTTCAGTGCCTTGTTCACATTAAATGCTTTCTATGATCTTCACTGTCTCTTTTTGAGAGTCGACTAGATTTCTTCTTGTTGTTGTATATACTGTGTATAAAATATATAGTTGTGATATTATATTCCTGGGTGTTTATTTCATCGGAGAGTTGTGTGAACATTTTAGATATGATTGAAGAGACCAAAATCCGAGCTGCGGTAGTTGTTTCGGGGTTTTCAAATCATTTTTATATATTAGACAATGGAAGTCCGAACTAGTAAAATTCATCATGAAACATTGTCAATCAGCTTCAAACTACGAGTTTCATTGGACCACGGCCTACTAGCCCGAAGTTTGATATCTTTAATCGTGACTCCCTATGTTCTTATAGTCTAGACCAGGGGTCTCCAAACTCGGGCCATAATGATTTTTTCAGTTTGTTCCAAGGACCAATTTCTGTCCTTAACTATATTTCTAGACTAGGATAGTCGCAAAGTGCGAACCTAAGCAAACTTATGCTTTTTTTGCATTTCAATTATTATTGTGTATTGTGACACTTAACGACATCTAGTGGCGAGTAGTGGTACTATGTACTATCTTTTTCAGCTACCCGCTAGGTGGCATTAGGCGTAATTAAATATTTGGAATTACCGCCTTGGTTCGAGAAAGTTCTGGTTCTAGCTAGTGTATTCCGATCACCTCGAGATAGCAGTAATAATTGCATATAAAAAGGCTAGCGGCGCAACTGCGAGTTAGTCTGCGTAGGAAATGCGAAGGAAGCGAAACTGTCTAATGTGAATTAAAGTAACACCCGTCAATAAAAGTATTTTGATTTGACAGTGAATGCAGAACGTTCCATGAAAAATGGAACTTTCAGTATTTGGTGATTGAGTCCAGTAATAAGGCGCTATGTTTAATTTGTAATGAAACCATAGCTGTTCTCAAAGACTATAACATTAAACGACACTATGAATCGAAACATCTTCAAAGTTACTCCAAGT